AGTTAAGTCCTTTAAGAATGTTATTTCTAATCAAAATATTGGAAAGTCGACGATTTAATAATTTAATGAGAGCTTTTTGTGAACATTTTAACAAAGTTATAGGTCTGGTATTGTTTAAGTCATATTCCCATGGTTTAGGCTTAGGAATTGGGTATACTAAAGCATGATTCCATCTGTGTGGAAGTGAAGATAACTCTAGACAACCATAAATAATATACCAGAGTAATTTTCTAGTCAAAGGACCAAGGTTTTTGAGCATTTCGTTAGACACCTTGGATGGTCCAGAGGCTTTACCATTAGGGAGTTGAGTGATAATACCATAACATTTATCGGCTAATGGCAGAGTCATTAGGTTATCATATATGGAGTTGTGAACATTCTCTAATGGTTGATAGAACGGGAGCCACTCCTCGTCCATTTGCACATTCTCGTGAGAAGTGCCAGCTGCCATTTGAAAATGTCTAGCCACTTCCTTTTTGACATCATCTTCATTGGTCAATAGATCACATGATGGTGAACCATTATTAATACATCTGTCAATGATAATTGTTCGTTTAGAGCGGTCCATAAGAGAATCAGTCATTCGTGCAGGTGAAATATGAAAATTTTCCAATCTCCTTTCAATAGCGAGTTGAATAAATTTTAATTTAAACTCATGCTCATGTAATTTTGATTTTACAAGAATGCAGCCCAGCAGCAGATTAATATCAGAGCAAATTGATTTGGTGATGATAGCCGCAGGATTAGGAGGAAGCCTAACATATCCTATTCTAAAATCATTCATAATAGTGTAGAATTTTTCAATTGAAGTATACCATTGTGTAGGAAGACTGGATGTGATAGCCATTTTCTTATCAAACTCTTCAGTTTATATAGCAGCTTAAGGTCTTTATATAATTTTGACAAGAGAGGAGGTCTCTTTATGGTGTGGTATCCTTTTGATTGGTGTGAAGGAATTGTAGAGTCTGCAGCCTTAATGATACATTCTTGTAAGAGATCCCAAAAATGGTTTAATTTACTTTGATCAAGTACAGTCTTATTGTTAAGGCAATGTAGATAGCAACTATTAGTCAAAGCATCTGTCTTATTAGCGAAGGCTAACCAATTATCCTCAGTCATTTTGTCATAGTCATAGACCTTTTTCAAAGGAATATTTCTCTTATTATTTTTAACATCTAAGAAGTTTTCGATATACAGGATGACAATAGAGTGATCAGTTAGAGTAGATGCAAGCTGAACTGTTTCACAACCTGTGAAGTTTGAGATGACATCAACTGAAGACCAAACATAATCTATCCGTGAAGACAACATTGGACCTTGATAAGTAGGATAGTTAGATCTTTGTGTATCATATTTGACTGTGAAAGTGTCAAATAAATTAAGGTTGTTCAGATTAGCAAAAAATCTTTTGTCCTGAGAATGCAGCTTAGGATTGTTAATATCTGTGTTAAGATCTCCAAGAAGTATTGTATGATAATTATTCGCATATGCATCTTGAATATATTTTAAGAGGTCTACTTGTATCTGTTTCCTAATAGTATGATTGCCAGGTGGAGGATAACAATTAATTACTTGTAACTTTTGTTTATTAGCAAATTGCAGATCTATGAGAATAATACGATTATGTTTAGATTCATGGTGGAAAATGTGATTCGCTAGGTGTGGACGAAGTAAAAGACCCATACCGAAACCAGATTTCTGCGGTTGAGAATCAGAGATTAAACTAAAGAAGCCAAAGAATTTGGATGCCCAATAATATCTAAGTTGAGTGAAGAATACAATTTAACTACAGAGGTTTGTTTAGCAATGTTAGTGAATGATCTGACATTATGAGTGGTAAATGAAATGTGCGAGGGGGTATGTAAAGGAGAAGAAAAATCATTATGTGCAGCTTGTGCAGGACCATTAGTAATGACAGTGTTCATATTAAAAAAATTAAAATTGTAGAAGTTCCTTAAGATACTGATCAACATCGCTGTCGAAAGCATCTCCTAGAGGGAACATGTTATTGGCAAGTTCCTTGGGCAACAATTTGTTCTGTACCAGAATGGATTGAAACACAGCACAAGATTTAACTAAAGTGTTGACCGTCATTGTGAAGGATTTAAGGCGATTTTGATGCATCTGATTAACGCTC